TAATCTTCCAGATGGTGAAGAGCAAATTGTTTGGTGCCCTGATGAAAATCCTACTTTTAAACTCTTTACCCATGCGCAACAATAACCAAATAATGCAATTGGAAGCATTGATCAAGAATAAAATGGTTGGGGTACTGGTGAACTCGAGAAGTTCTCATAACTTCATCCAAAGAGAGTTGGCATTGGAGCTTGGCATCTCCTTTACGCAGACCAGGTGTATGAAGGTTGTCCTAGGTAATGGCCAATTCCTCTTGTGTAACACAAAATGCTGTTATGTCTCTGTATTCATTCAAGATAGGGAGTTTGTGGTGGAATTGTGGGCCTTGGACCTTAAACATCTTCAGGTTATTTTGGGTATGTCGTGGTTGGAGTCTTTGGGACGGGTCGTGCACAACTATAAAAACATGACCATGGAGTTTTTCTTCAACAAGGAACGAGTGCTTCTACACAGCTGCAACATAGTGGCAGCAAAGCAATCTTATTGTTTCATGATGAAATAAGAGATCCCTCCTCCCAACTCGATTTCTGTTGAATTATTCAAGCTGCAAGGCAAGGTACCAAAGGAAGTTTGGGAAATTTTGATGAAATATCAGCAATTGTTTGATATCCCAAAAAGTATGCCACCATCAAGGGAGATTGACCACTCAATCCATTTAATAGAGGGATCCAAGCTTATAAATGTCAAGCCATATAGATATTCATACTTCGAAAAAGCAAAGATAGAAAAACAAGTAAAGGAATTGCTGGCTACTGGTTTCATACAGGAGAGAAAAAGCCCATATTCTTCACCAGTCCTGTTAGTGAAAAAGCATGACAATTCTTGGCATATATGTATCAACTACAAAGCATTGAACGCAATAACGATAAGAGATCGTTTTCCTATTCCTACTATAGACGAACTCTTAGATGAATTATGCAATGCCTCTGTATTTTCTAAATTAGATTTACGTGCGGGTTATCACCAAATTAAACTTAATGAACCTAATATACATAAGACGGCGTTTAGGACACATGATGGTCATTACGAATACGTTGTAATGCCATTCAGTTTTAAAAATGCCCCATCTACATTTCAATCGGCTATGAACAACATGTTTAGACCCTTTTTGCGGAAATTTATCATTGTTTTTTTTATTACATACTCATTTACAGTAGATCTCTTCCAGACCATATACAACATTTAGAAATTACTCTAAACTGTTTGAATACTTATGAATTTTATGTCAAACTAATAAAGTGTTCTTTTTGAAAGTAGCCTTTTGTAGGCCATGAACATAAAGGAGAAAAAAATTAAAAAAATTTGCGGAAGAAGCAACCTTTGCCCACCCTCAATCATGTTCAACCTGTGAATCATGCAATAGACATGTTAGGGGTTTAAAGTTGATACCTTTATTCGGATAACTATTCCTGATCAGATGCGTTCTTGATCAATTCTTCAGACTTGAAGAACACAAGTCCTCCGATGGAAATCCACACCACTTTGTTGTCTTGTAAAAGAAGAACACTTCTTCGAATGTCCAACGTCCTTCAATGGAGGTTGCTAGACTTAAGAGAATATCAAAGATTGGGTGGTGCCTTTTGTTATTCCAAGAGAGAGAAATAGCCACCACACTGATTTGTGTGATGGCTAGGGTTTCGGTGGAGAAAATTAGAGAAGAAGAGTTACAAAACTAAGGAAGAAAAGGGGATGTATACATGTGGCGCCTCAATAACCTAAGACTAGGTCAAATCAGCGCTCTCATCAAATCTCAATCTTATTGGGTAATTTTCTTAATTTTATCCAATCAATCTAATTGATTGGTTTCCTCAATTTCAGCTAATTAATTCAATTAATTGATTTCTTTAATTTTGGTCAATCAATCCAATTGATTGGCTCCCCAATTTCAGCCAATTAATTTAATTAATTGATTTTCTTGATTTTGGCCAATCAATCTAATTAATTGATTTCCTTTATTTTCTCCATCTTCATTAAATCTAACTTAATGACTATATTTAAATTCAAAATTAGAATTTAAATTAATTTTATTTAAATTTAAATTCGAAATTAGAATTCAAATTAATTTTTATTTAAATTCAAATTTCAAATTTGAAATTCAAAATTAGAATTCAAATTAATTTTATTAATTTAACATTTAAATTAATTAGGTTCCATCATGGATCAAGTCCAACTTGACCAATGATGCCACTTACCCTCTCTTGGCCCAATATGTGGGCTTTTTCAACTTAGGCCCATTATCCCTTATTGGGCTCAAACCACATGTGCTAGAGTTCAAGACAACTTAAGGTGTTTGTGTGCAACCCATCAGGCCCAACATAGCCACTGACGTAAATGGGCTTAGGCCCATTAAACCCAATCCATCTAATGACAACACAAAGCACTAGCAATGCTTTGTTGTCCAAGAGCTAGTGGAGTTCATCGAATGATCAACTTTTTATACCTATTTGGTTCCTGTGTGAATTGTCTTTTCGTCTTGGTTATCCATCCCGTTGACCTAGGTCAAGAAAAATGGATCAACCCCTATAGTCCAGGTTAGCTTTTTCTGAAACAGGGAATCTTCATTTACGAACTCTAAAGAGCAAGCTATCTCATGACTCCTTTTACTATGCATAGATTCCCGAGTCCCGTAAATGTCATCCCGGTTTCACCAGTCTACGAATAACCTAATCTCTCACAGAGATTGACAAATTCCTTCAGCTTGTCGCACTAGCCCAGAGTTCTTAGGGCATGCCTAAGAGTATACCTACGAGCCTTCATGTTTCAGGCAGACAAGGTATACAATCAAAGAAAGCCTTCCAGAGCACAAGTCTATACGACAACGTCAGGTCTAAGGAAAGACACACCCAAATAATAAGAGACATTACATATTGATACTATCTATGAGATTTTCTTGTAGTGTCTCTTTGTAGGTCAATTCAGTGCGAGCTATTCTCCAATAGGTCCACCCACGAGTCAGCTAAGATATCTCAATGTCTGTAGCTCATGAGGACTCTACCTTGCATCTCCATGCAAGTAGCTGAGTCGTGCTAGTCTTACCTAAGATCACCAATGCCCATTCTCAGTATCTCTAGACTAGGAACGTATTTCTGGCACTGGTCGTATGGTGTTATTGAGCCCTCATGATCGTGATCCCTATCACAGATCCTCAATGTGACACCCGTTTCATTCCAAAGACTTTATCCAGTTACTCATATTCAATATTTGAGACATGCAATATGAAACAAGATAAAAAATGCTTTTATTCATAAAATTTATTCATAACAATAAAGAAGTACATGAGTCCATCTGACTCTCAGATTGTCTCTAGAACACCTATGCACTAACACTTTTGGTGTTGATGAAATTGATTACTTGGGACTTTTGGTGCCGGTTTGGGAGTGAAAGTTGACCCTGCTAAGGTTGCTGCAATGATGGAATGGCCACGCCCTCAATCAGTGAAACAACTTCGCGCATTGCTTGGCCTCACTGGTTACTATAGGCGTTTTTTCAAAGGATACGCCTCTATAGCTGCTCAGTTGACTAGTTTGTTGTCCAAAGATTCGTGGCAGTGGTCCACATAAGCCGAATTGGCGTTTGAAGCTCTCAAACATGCTATGGTTTCAACACCTGTTCTAGCCTTACTCGATTTTTCCTTGCCATTTTGTGTTAAAACTAATGCATCAAACTCAGGTATTGGGGCAATGTTGACTCAAAGAGGCCAACCAATTTCCTTCTTTAGTAAGAAGCTTGGCTTATGATTAGCAGTAGCATCAACATACATCAGGGAGTTTGCTGTAATTGTTGAAGCAATCAATAATGGAGACCTTATCTTTTGGGTTCCCATTTTATTTTGCGCACTAACCACAAGAGTATTAAGGAAATTTTGTCTCAAGTTATCACAACTCCGGATCAGCAAAAATTTGTTTCGAAGTTAATGGGATACTCTTTTTCAATTGAGTATAAACCTGGCAATTTGAATTGCGTAGCTGATGGGTTATCTCGATAGTGTGATGGAGTTGCAAGCTGTAATGTCTTTTTATCTCAGATCTCATGTGATCTAATAGAGCAAATTCGCTAGGAAAATTTACAAGATGTTGACTTGGTAGAATTACATTTAAAGTTGGATAAGGGTGAGTTGCTAGATAATAACATCTCTCGCAAGGATGGCATGTTGTTCAACAAACAGAGGTATTTGTTGAGCTCAACCTCAACCTTGAAGGATACATTATTGGAAGAGGCTTACTATTCATTAGCAGGAGGTCATGCTGGATGTCTGCATACATTCTTAAGACTACCCGCATCTTTTCATTGGCCTCGGATGAGAATGGATGTAAAAAATTTTGTGCAATAATGTGTTGTGTGCTAATCGGTGAAGGCAATAACTTCTCCACATGCTGGCCTTCTTCAACCTTTGCCTAATCCTGAAGCTGCTTTTGATGATCTGACTCTTGACTTTATAAAAAGTCTCCCATTATCCAAGCATTTGTTTTTGCAATCTTGGTGGTTGTAGATAGACTCACGAAGTACGCTCACTTCGGAGCCCTACCATTAGCCTTTACCGCAGCAATGATGGCCCAATTGTTCGTTGAAATCATTGTTAAGTCTCATGAATTTCCAAGATCACTGGTGTCTGACCGTGACAGTATTTTCTTGAGCCAATTTTGGCAGAATCTCGTTCGCTTTAGTAGTACCAAACTGCACATGAGCACATCTTATCATCCCCAATCAGATGGTCAAAGTGAAGTTACAAAATCGTTATGTGGAGCAATATCTTAGAGCCTATTGTTCAGAGCAACATGCATCTTGGTCTTCACTTCTTTCTTGGGCTAAATTCCATTACAACTCAGTTGTGCACTCCTCAATTGGAATGTCACCCTTTTAGGCGTTATATGGTTGTCTTCCACCATCCATCCCTCATTATCCACGTGGGTTATTGAAGCTGGAGGCAGGGGATACTATGTTGGTTGATCGCTCAATCATGCTGGCTTGCCTGAAGCAAAACCTTATGCGAGCTCAAAACTGAATGAAAGTCCTTGCAGATAAACAACGTCAAGATCGTTCATTGGAGGTAGGGGATTATGTTTTGGTGAAGTTGCAACCCAATAGACAGATATCAGTAGCCAAACGTTCTAGCCACAAGTTGGCCAAACGTTTCTTTGGCCCGTTCCAAGTAACAACATCAGTAGGTTCAGCGGCTTATCGAGTTCAGTTACCGAAAAGATCTCGCATCCATCCAGTTTTTCATATTTCTGTGTTGAAGAAATTCTACGGAGATCCATCAGCATCCACTCTTTTGTTGCCTTTGGAGTCAATTGACAACTGTCCTATGCAGTCTCCTATAGCTATACTTGGTAGCAAGCTTGATAAAGGCAAACGTAAGAATCAACGTAATTTCTTTGTGTAGTTGTTACCGGCTGTCCCTGAAGATGCAACATGGGAGTTTGAAAGCGAGTTATGTAGGGCTTATCCTAATATAGACCTTGAGGACAAGGTCTCGGTCATTGGGGGGGGGGGGGGGGCAGTGATACGAGTAGAAGGGAGTCTACCCGCTTATGTGGAATACAAACTAGGCACATGACTTTACCTAAGGAGATCAATGTGGCAGTTATAGAGGAGCTTCGTAATTCATTCATTGGTAGTTGTAAGGATTCACATGTAATAAACACACATGTATGGTGGAGGTACAAAAAAAGGAATGGCTGATGTAAACAGGGGATATACAAATAATAAAATTCTTTCTCTTTTTTTTCTTGAAGTATTTTCTCTCAGTTTCTCTCTCTGCAACCCTAGGTTGCAACAGTGAACCTATATCCAATTGATTGTGAACTTTTGTTTTTTTTTGTTCGTGAACCTATATTTGGTTGCTTGCAAACAAATATTTTTCCATTAGCAAACTCATAACCTATTGCTTGCAAACATTTTCTTTTCAATTTGCGATCCCTGTAGTTTGCAAATATTTTATTTTCCTTTGGTGGACCCTTATCCAACTTGTTGCAAATGTTTTCTTCTCTGTTTGTGAACTTGTACCAAGTAGGTAGTAAATTTTTTTCCATTGGTTACAAATGTTTCTTTTGTAGTTGTAAACCTGTATCCAAATAATTTCAAACAACTACTTTTTCACTCTGTGTGAATCCATATCTAGTCAATTTGCATATATTATCCACCTTGGTAAATTTTTTTACACTTTAATAATTTGTGAAGCATTTGTGTAAGTTTTAAATTTTCAACATGTATCCTATAATTTATAAAGGCAGCATGCGTGCATATGTAAAACATGTGATTTTTTTTTGCCGAAACACATATGCATTGATTTCCTAGATCGTTACTCAATATAATTCCAAAAGGGCATGCAATCATGTTTTATAACAAGCATATGATTCATAAAGGTCATAATACCTTTATGACGTGTATAGGGTGTGTAACCTTGATCACTTTGTAGTCATAGGCATCCTCTAATGGTGATCCACACTATCACTTGATGGCTTGGGAAAACTCTTCTCACTAATCCGTCCTTAGTTGATCGCTTGTTAGGTTGAATAAGAGTGGGGAGGATTGGTTCAATGGTGTCTTACTTGGAGCGCAAGAAGCTCTTGTGTTTAACTTGCAATGAAAGCAACTATTGCATCACAAGAGTGTATGGAGAAGGGGAGAGAAGGAATGTCGTAACTGACTTAATGGTTTAAGGGCACATGAGCATGCTTAAGGTTCTTAAGAAGATGAACCCTAAGAGTCATAATCGAACTATGACTTCCCTCCTTTATGAAAATTGAATTTGAATTAAAAAACTTGTGCTTATCTAGTTTTAATTCAAATTCTAAGGCTACTCATAAAAGGGTTTGACCAATTCAAACCTTAGGATAAGGATTAACTTAATACAATTAAGATAAGCATGAAGTTAAAATTCACAATTCAAATTTCAAGTTTGTAAGTTTAGAATTTAAATTAAGATAATTATTTTCAATTCAAATTTCAAACTTCCATAAGCCTCTACTCAAGAACTCGAGGAAGAAAGCTGACAGACGTAAGAAAATGGAAGCAAGTGCGTTAACCGTCACTTCGTAGTTCGATACTCTCAAAGATGAGTGAAGCTTGATTCAAATTTAAAGGTCTTTCTTTTTCTTTCCATCGACCATCCCCTTCTCCTAACATGGCGAATAAATGGATGAGTAAATCTGCTTTTTACTTCTACTACGATAATACAAATAGTAAATCATCTACTTAACACTTAAAACATCTTAAAACACTTAGAATTATATATCAAGAAATATCACATCTAATTAATTATGCCTTGAGGTATTTATGGTCAATTTAGGCTGCATTTTCTCACTCAGAGAGTTAATAGCTGCAAGTGTCTTGGTCCAAGGGAGTACACAATATTGAGGCAGTGCACCCAAAGGAAGCATGTGTCATATGCTACGTGAAACGATGAGTAGACGAGGGTTCTAAAGGTTTGCCGAGCTTCACCATATACTATGGCTGATCTACATCAGCTTGATGCTATACCAGATGCACAACTGATGAATGCTATCACGTGGTACTTGAGCATTAACTTTGTGTGCAACCTACTTCGTACGCAACTAACTATATTAGTTGGATAATATATTTGAAATTGGCATTATATGGTAAATTCTTATTTTAGTTACAATTTTTATGTTTTTTTTGTTCTTACAATAAGTGACACGACAAACATGGAGGTAGAAAAAAAAATCAAAAATTCAATTCAAATAATAAATTACATAATTAATACTATTTTTAAATATTTTACATGACTAATGTAACTATTTGTGCACAAATACGTGCACATCTAATTGCGGATTAGTTGCGTGTGCAACTATCACGTGAGTTGCATCCAAATTGATGTGAAACTAATTGTGCTTCAATTCGGGCGTAACTCATGAGAGCTTGCCACGTGGAACTAAGGGTGGGCATGGTTCAACCCGAACTGATTTTTTCGTTAACCTGAACTGAATCAAACAAGTTTAAATCAATTTCATTTCCAAGAATCGAACAATTTTATTTTATCTGATTTGATTTGATTTTTCTAGAACCGGTGCATGGTTTAAAACCAATTTATGATTTATAGTTAGTTTTGAACTAGTTCAGATATACAAATCATAATCATCATGATAGAAATAGCTGGATTCAGAGTAGCCACATATCTCAATAATATTTTTATTCAATAAAAGAACAACCAAATAAATTAAGATTCACAATGTCCTTAGATAGGCAACGAAAAGGAAAATAACAAATTATGAAATTATCTGTACGAAAATAAAAAGATAAAAAACAAATAAATAATTTTAATAAAATCAATGAAAATGACTTTAAAAGCCCAAAAAAAAAACACCCGTACTCGTTGCAAAGAATGAACCTTAATAAGAAGAAGATTGATTCCAACACCTGTCAAAGTTGAGCCCATCCCGAGATGGTTACCTTGTGTCGTTACCAATTCGATTACTTGTTCTCAACAGTAAATCATATATTACAAAAACGACCACTCTTAATGCCAAGGGGCAAGCTCTCATAAGTTGCGTCCAAATTGATGCCCATCTAGTTGCGATCACTTTGGGCACAACTCACGAGAATTTGACACGTTTTAAATTTTCTAATTAGATAATAACACTAGATTTTTTTTTTTGAGGTAATTCAACTTTAATTATTTCTTTGAGCTGAATTGGTTCTTCTTGGTATTCTACAAGTTTCGACTCTTTAAGCCGATTATAAAACTAATTCGGAGTGTGGGACGAGAGAGATGAAGATATTTAAACCCTTCCTAAAGATGACATGCAGGGATCGGATTGAGACCTTTTTCTTTTCAAGTACTCAGTTCTCTTACTATCAATTGAGCTACCACCATTTGGTACTAGATTTTTGTTATAATACTACGTGACCTTTTTTTTTTAGGCAATTTGTGTAGCCTTTATATTTATTTTTCTAAAAACATAGTTTTACGAAGACACTACGTCGTGAAGGCCGTTATTCTTTTCAGATAACAATTAAAAAAATTGCTAATATAGAAACAACATACCAAAGGAGTAGTCAATTAATTTAGTGGAAGTATCAAATATTTGTTCCACATTTTACCAACCCGAGCGCCTAAATTGTCATCCATCCTCAGAACAACAACCACGAGTTGGGGAAGCATACAATATTGTTTTCTCGCAAATGTTAGCAACCATACCCAAAAAAATGGAAATGCATTACAAACAAAATTTAGGAACGTGCACAGCTTAGTTCGATTCAAATTTTTTTTTTCAAATCGAATTGAATTGGAAAAAACAATTCAGTTCCGAGAACTGAACTTGTTTATTTTTTCGAACCAAGTTATGAATTGATATTTAAAATTAGATTTTGAATCAATTTCCGCTTGGTTCGTCCTCGAACCACACCGTACTAGATGAGAGGCCCTGCTCTGATATCACTTGTAACGTCCGGCCACTTGCAAGAATCAATGATTGTCCCCACACACTAACACGAGACTTTTCAGTGTGCTTTGGCCTCACTCGCACACTTCACGGGAAAACTTCTCAGGAGGTCACACATCCCAGAATTGCTCCAAGTCAAGCACACTTAACTGTGGAGTTCTTCCGATCTGGGCTACCAAAAAGTAGATGCATCTTGTTAGTATAGGTAGTACCAATTAATTCTTATAAGTCATTCCTAACTGTATCGTCCCATACCAGCACAGTCTCTGGAATCCCTCTCTTTCGGGTGTTGATTCGATTCATTCATGTACCCCCTCCGCTGGAAGCCTGCCAGGAGCCGCTCCTTGTCTGTGCCCTTACGCAACAGCGATCACTCCCCGCCCTCGTCAGCGCTCAGGATGTTACATGCCCACCAGCTTCCGCCTAGTTCGTCCTCGAACCACACCGTACTGGATGAGAGGCCCTGCTCTGATTCCACTTGTAACGCCCAGCCACTTGCAAGCATCAACGACTATCCCCACATACTAACTGCAAATTAAGATGTTGAATATGGGTATTGTGTATGTGAATTATGGAAGTCTGGTTTATTTGATGGATTATGATTGGTAGTTATTTAAATTATAATGTATGTGTTAGGCGGTATTACCTTCTGTGACTGCTAGCTAGTACATGAATTGTGAACGTTGCTCTCATGATTTGGATTCAAATTATGTATATGTCATTCATATGCTATTCTTGAATATGATATGCTGGATATTCTGTTTTGAAAAGTAAATATATTCAGCAACTTGATATTGGAAATCCATGGTGTATATGCCATTCTGATTATTATTTAGTCATGCATACTCATGTCATAATTTTTAGATTTTTGTTTATGTGTGAACCATGGCATAGCATACATGCATCAATTTCATGTTGTTTTCTGAATTAAAAATAAGTATGAAAAGTAAGCATACGTTTGAGCACGCATCATATAGGCATCCCTCTGGTACCAGGGTATGGGACACTTGGCTTCAGTCCGCTTAGGTACAGTTGGAGCCCTTCTGAGGAGCCACCCAGGGTACTCCACTGTTCTGTTAGTGATACGTGCACAGTAGTGCTATGAACGTACACTTCTGGCGTTATATACGCAATATGATTATGATTAGTATTTGACAAATTTGAACTGATGATGCGGCTGCTTTGAAATTCTGTATTTAGTTAGTACTGTTGCATTACTGGTTTTGTTGCCACACTACTGAGATTTTTCTCACCCCTTTGGGGGCTCACATGTAACATCCCAAGAGCTGGCAAGGGCAGGGAGTGATCGCTGGTGCGAAAGGGCACGGACAATGAGCGGCTCATGCCAAATCTTGCAGCTTGGGGTTCATGAATGAATCGAATCAACACCTGAAAGAGAGGGATTCCAGAGACTATGCTGATATGGGACGGTACAGTTAGGAATGACTTATAAGAATTAATTGGTACTACCTATACTAATAAGATGCATCTACTTTTCGATAGCCTGGATCAGAAGAACTCCACAGTTAAGTGTGCTTGACTTGGAGCAATTCTAGGATGGGTGACCTCCTGGGAAGTTTTCCCAGGATGTGTGCGAGTGAGGATAAAGCACACTGAAAAGTCTCGTGTTAGTGTGTGGGGACAGTCGTTGATTCTTGCAAGTTGTCAGGCGTTACAAGTGGTATCAGAGCAGGGCCTCTCTTCCAGTACGGTGTGGTTCGAGGACGAACCAGGCGGAAGCTGGTGGGCATGTAACATCCCAAGAGCTAGCAAGGGCAGAGAGTGATCGCCGGTGCGAAAGGGCACGGACAATGAGCGTTGTATTCATGCCTGTTCGAAATGCAAATCATAGTATTCATTCTTATGTGAATGAGAATGAAAAACAAGAGATACTCTTTCTCGAAATATGGACAAACGGAAGTTTAACTCCGAAGGAAGCACTTTATGAAGCCTCCCGAAATTTGATTGATTTATTTAGTTCGAGGACGAAGCAGGCGGAAGCTGGTGGGCATGTAACATCTCAAGAGCTGGCAAGGGCAGGGAGTGATCGCCGGTGCGAAAGGGCACGGACAATGAGCGGCTCATGCCAAATCTTGCAGCTTGGGGGTTCATGAATGAATCGAATCAACACCCGAAAGAGAGGGATTCCAGAGATGTGCTGGTATGGGACGGTACAGTTAGGAATGACTTATAAGAATTAATTAGTACTACCTATACTAACAAGATGCATCTACTTTTCGGTAGCCCGGATCGGAAGAACTCCACAGTTAAGCGTGCTTGACTTGGAGCAATTCTGGGATGGATGACCTCTTGGAAAGTTTTCCCAGGATGTGTGCGAATGAGGACAAAGCACACTGAAAAGTCTCGTGTTAGTTTGTGGAGACAGTCATTGATTCTTGCAAGTGGCCAGACGTTAGAAGTAACTTGTTATTGAATCTAAATTGGTAGAATTACCATGTATGAACAATAGAATAAACAATTGTAGTCCAATAAACAATTGTAAAAAAAAAAAAATCAATTCTTTTAACTGAAATACAATTTAATTCAAAAAAGAACTCAATTTTTTTAATTATTTTGCACACCTGGGAATTGTACCACAAGAAAACCGAACCATATGAACTGGTTTACTTGCAATTCGGTTTTTCTTGGTGCCGTTAATTTCAATTAAAAAGCAACGTGGTTTTTCTATTTGAACCGAACCATGCACAGTCTTATCTTACCTCCATAACTCTATTATCACCCTTCCTCTTATTCTCAATGGTGCAGCAAAAGAATAGACGTACAGCAGGCAAAAAAACGAGGACATCTCTAGCAAACTTTCTTTGAACAACTGGGTCAAAGTTCAGGGATAAAATTAACTGTACATAAACTTTGTTTCCCATTCAAGTTCACAAAACTCTTGCTTCCAAATCTTTAGATATAGCAAGCAAGAATCCATATTTACATTTTTCGTAAAATCTCCAAACATGATTCGTCAAGCCAAGGCCGAAAATTTCCGTTGTGGGTCACATTCTGCAAGAATGTATAGACAAAGTACATCAAGATAACTCCCATTACAAGTAATTCACATTAGTTAACAGAAGATCAATACAAGAACCCACACCATTGTGTTAGAAAGAACACATCTAAACGTGAAATCATGAATCAATGCTCCAAACGAACGAACAAATGTAATCTAAAAGACAGCATGAGAAAATAAAGCCCGAATGCCAAACAGAAGTCACCAAATCCATAAATACTACTAAGGAAAAAACGTTTGTCCTTTTAAAAGATATAACTTTGTGTTATTTTAGATGAAACGACATCATTTTGATGCATAATTGATGATTTTTTATATTCTCTCTCCTCCACTTTTTCAATCTCTTCCTAATTTTATGGTGGAGATAAAATATAAAAAACACCAATTATGCATCAAAATAACGTCATTTCATCTAAAATGGCACAAAGTTATATCCTTTAAAAGGATAAACATTTTTCCTACTACTAAATAGCCAAAATTTATTGATTATTTGCAAATGAGACACCACAAGTATATCCAGATCCAATTGCTACATATATCATTTTTTTTTATTTAGAATAATAACTAAAGAAAAATATTGTGGATTATTTGCCCAAAGGCTTTTTAGTCTAATGGCATTCTCTGACATTTGAGAAAAACGTGAGTAGAGATCCTTGTTAAAACTTGCTAGGTGTGGCCATGTAACACATTTTAACAACTTTCTTTACATATAGGATGTTACGATCCTACTCCAAGGTATGAGACTTTAAGTCCCACATTAGAAACATAAGGTTTTGGTGTGAGATTTATATGGATTTTGGGCTCTCCTACCTCACGAGCTAGTTTTTGGGGTGAGACTCTCCCAATATTTGTATCATAGGATTAAAACAATTACAACCAGAAAAGACTCTAAAATTGAAGAAATAAGAACCCATGACCTCCAAGTAAACCATAACCAACTAAAGTAAGTTAACTATCATCTCAATCAATCAAGTTGAAAACCAGAAACATAGTTTATCGAAGTACTGCTTCAATGGGCAAAATATTCTTTATACACATTAAAGATCTAAAACAGAAAAATGTTTGAACATGAACCTGTTGACTTACTTGCAACCAAAAAATGAATCCACGCAAGAGAAACAAAACCCTATGTGGTTGTTCCTTGAGTCCAGCAATTGCTTTTGATAGATCTGTACAATTATGAAACAAATATTTGATAGAGAAATGGCATCAGATTGAGCATAGACAGAGTTGTACAAGAACGAGAATAGAAGCACTTGAAAGTCCAAAAGAAGCAGAAGCAACCTAACAACTTGCACAAACCACAGATTTTCAGAAATACAATGAAATGATGTTAACATCAGCAAAGTCTAATCCCAAATTTACTGATTATTCAAAATCAGTAACAGTCCGTCACAAAAATCAAACCCTCTAAGCTAAAAGGTATATTATGGTATAACTTGATTAGAGAGAAATTGAAGGTTTCCCTACTGATAAATAATGAGCTCAATAATAAATTAATTTACTAGTACATAAGCAAATTAATTTATTCCAGAGGTTCTAAATTATTTTCATCACCCATGTTGTTTTGGTAATTACACTTAACCTCCTATATTAAAATTTCAGCTTTTCACAGACACCCCTGTTTATATTTTCAGAAGACACAAACAACCATTTCTGTACGATAAAAATACACTTATAATGGAGGTAATTGTAGGTTTATGACAAGAGGGATAGAATGTATAACTTGCTCTTAATTCATATAATTCAACCAAGTTTTGGTCAGTCCATCCAGAATATCAAGTGAGAGTGTTTAATGTTATAGGTGGAATGAATCAAAATCACTGAACCTTGACTGCATAGTTCAGATTAATCTTCATGCTACCATTTTTATAACCAAAAAAGGAATATCTGAAAAGTCAGAATGCTTGAGAAATTGCTGGACCTACCTGGATACAACTCAAGATAAGATTTGGTTTCACCATGAGTGTGATATGATTTAATCACCCCCTGACGAGTTTCTAGATGACGTTCCTTCGGCCTTCGTTGATGTAATTCATGCATAAAATAGTCATACTCTCGTTTGTCATAAGGCCTTTCAAGATATTCCATAAGTTTTTTCCTAAACTGAGAATGATCATAAGCAGAGAATTCCCTGCTGTGTCTGGGTTTCATTTCACTTTCAAACCACTAAACACACCAAAACATATCAAGAAGTTAAAAAATAATTGTTTCAAGATTGCTCATTACTGTGCATCTGTGTGAACTATGTTGCAGATTATGACTAAAACAGTTACACTGTTTGAAGTTAAAGACACTTACAGAAGAATCATATGTTTTTGAAGAAATGAATGGAGTGTTTTCACAAATTTCATCAGGTTCTAGAAGAATTAGATCTGGGTCAGAGGAATTACTACCACCCTCCATCTTGTTTATCTTTGAGATATTTCTGTCACGCATAAACACCAAATCGTCATCAACAACATCAGCAGAATTCAGGAATAGTTGGTAATCTTCATCAATGTCACACTGCACTTCGCGAGTATCAAATGCCTTATCACACTGCACTCTGGTAGTCTTTCCCATTAATTCACCACCCATATGGACCAAATTGTCATCATCTGTCCAAGAATTCAGGAATAATTGGTAATCTTCATCCACATCATCAAACTCCACATCACTGTGGCAACTCTTGTTAGGGACACCAGATACATCTTCATCCACATCATCAAACTCCACATCACTGTGGCAACTCTTGTTAGGGACACCAGATACATCTTCATTTGCCCTTTTATTACAATGTACTTTTTCAGTTTCCATATTTTGCTGAGATTCCATTGAGCCACCTGTCTGTTTTCTCAATGAATCAATCCCAGTATTTCCAACATTTCCAGTCTCATCCCTCTGTGTCAAACCATTTAACATCTTAGTGTCTAACTTGAGCCCATAATGCAACCTTTCTTCCTCTTCTTCTTCTTCTCCCTCATACCTTACGTGCACAAGCTGGTTTTCCACAAAGCACGAGTAAACATAGGAATTCCCTTCTTTCCTCAAATTTTCCAAGAACTTCTTATACTGAGGATCTGAATCAATATCATTGTCATTGTTGTGGCCGGTGTCCACAACAGCATCAGAACCATCAACATTATTATCAATGACAACATCAATATCAGAAAGGTAAGTATCCAAAAAAAATTTGTAGTCCTCATCTACTTCATCCTCCACCAAATAACCATTTTTTTCTGTTAAAACAGCCTTATTTACTTCACTCTTCACAGTTGTCCTTGTAGCACTGGCATTGCAATCATGCTTCAAACTGCCTTTTAAAATGATCTCCCTTCTCTTCCATCGTCTTTCTAACCTTCTTATTTTATCCTCAGAATCAAGATCTTTGCAATTCTCTCTCACCTGAGAATCACCCATGTTACTCTTGATTGAAGCACGCCCCATTTTCCCTTAACGAGAACAATGTCCTGCTTGGAATCAAGAAGGCCGTAAACACACACACACACACACAAAAATGTAAACTGATATTCTGTCGTTTGGGCTACTAATGGAAAACATTTTGCTTAGTGCATTATCGGAAACAAAATGTAATCAAAACGACAGATACAATAACAACAGCTTAATAAAAATATTCAGATTACAAGTTCCATTCTATAGACCAACCATATTCCCAAGGTGACCAAAACGTGTCTCTAGAGTAATTTATTTTTATTTTTTTCACGGGGCGAATTTGGAGTAGTTTTAAAGCAACTCCTTTGTAACTGAAAGGTCACCTGTTTGAATATTGGAAACAACCTAAATATGCAAGGGTAAAGCTATGTACAAAGATTACCCAGAACTCACCATCGCTAGTTGGGATTTATTGGGGAGTGGTGGTTTAGATATCAACGGGTGTCCAAAACCCAAACGGCCCCAACTAATCGGGTTTTGAGATTTAGCCTCTCCACCCTTCTCTGGGCGTAATCCTAAGATCTATACTAGACCAACGACTCTGGGATGATTAATCTATTTTTTAATACAATATCATGAACATTTAATGTATAAGAAGGTAATGAACTCTAGAGAGGATGTACTTACTTAAAAATTGGTAAGATGAGAAAGTGAAATTATCTCTTAGATTGTGAATGAACTAAGATCGTTCATTTGGTTAAATGAAATTAAGACAGAGAGGATGCACTAGACCGTCAATAAACAAATCAGGAATTATATTTCTTCACTCTTTATCATGCGCTCTCTCGCCGTGACATGTCAAAGTGATAAGATTCATTGTCAGCAAAACAAACGCATCTATTTCAAAGTATGGGTCATTGTCTTACAGTATCAGACATGTTCATATATAACCATGCATGCTAATGATCAACGGTGGTGATAGTTACCGGGAAGAATGCCGGCGGTGAAGACCTTTGGGGTCTCGAGGCTCCGGAGAACGTGCTGCGATCTGATTGGTCTGTTAGTTAATTGTTTGGTTGTGTGGATTTGGAGTGTGGAGTGTGAAAAGTCTCACTATCTAGTGGGCTGTATAAAAATGAGGTCAAATTTTAGGACTTAATGGATTGTGCCACGGGCCGTGGCTAAATTGACAACTTAACTCAGCGCATTGTTTATAGATAACTCTTTAAATGTTATGAGAAATGCTTTACCCTTTAAATATTCATTGTCAAAATAAGTTATTTTCAATGATATTATTTTAAAGCGAAAATCAGTTATTTTTATAATTATAATATGAGGAGGGTTATATTTAGGGGTGTTAACGGGCCGAGCCGAGCCGAGTTTTGGTCTTAAAAGGTTAAGTTTGTGTTTAGATGTGTCAGCTTAACCAAGCCTGTTATCTGTTATGAATATAATTATCGGCCTGTGGCCTAGCTTATTTACAAAAATTAAAAGCCTTGTTTAGCCTGTTTGCCTGTTTTAAAAAAATAAGACAACACAAATTTATCCAAATAAAATATACAATCAACAGCACTAGTAATTCCATAAATATTCATAAATTCAATGTATATCAAAATAGCATAATATAGAACAAAATCATTCAAAAAGTCTGTTTAACCAATAAAATGAGATGAAATAGATTGAGGAGAGAGAGAGTTATTACCAGTAGTACAAAAAATATAAAATAAAAATAAAAATTAATATACTAGACCAGCCTTAGAGGCTTTAAGGCCAGACTTTTAAATTGGAGCCTGAGGCCTTTTTATTAAAGGAGCTTTTATACAAGTTCAAGTCTGGTTCCAACAACCAACTTTAGACATTTAAGCTCAGGCCTTCACGAGCCGAGCCAAAGGCCTCTGAAAGGCCCCTGGTTTGTTTACCACCCCTAGTTATACTTACCACCAGGTAAGTTTACCACCCTTACAACCAATCTCCTAACTGTTAGATTAGAATTAAATCTAACGGCCCATAATTATCCTTTATAATCCTAATTTTTTTACTATTTCATTCTCTTTCTTCTTCACCTTCTCTACAACCCCCTCTCCATTCTCTTTCTAGGTCTTCCAATTGCACATGACAGATTGATAAATTCGTCTATGCTCTCTATCAAAATTGCATGTTTATTCTCTTTTATATTTAGTCAATAAAGACAGAAGTTTAATTATGATAAAATTTATAACTCTTCCATTCCCTATTTTCCTCAAGAAACAATTTCGTTGATACAACCTTCAATGATAGTAGTACACTGAATCAATTTTTAGTGATCAGCCAAAACATAAACCAAACCCAATTCAAATTGGAAAATTTTGAACTTGGTCAAAAGTAGATTCAAGTAACCCCTTTAAAATTTGAGAACCTTCTTTCACCAAAAAAAAAATTTGAGAACCTTCGGATCATCATCACGAGGTTGTAGGGTTTTTGCGATTTGATGGTGAGAAGAGAAAGCAAGCAGCAAGTGTGAGAAACATGATATTCAGATTGAAAACTATAAGAAAACATCATGGAATGATAACCGCAATCTTGTGAATAAGATGAGACGGTGGAGATCGGCGAACTTTGAGAGCGAAAGAGAGAGGGTTGTTAGACCCAGAGAGAAGGTGAAGATGAAATAGTAAAAAATTAAGATTATAAGGGATAATTATGGGCAGTTAGATTTAATTCTAATCTATCGGTTAGGAGATTAGTTGTAAGGGTGATAAACTTACCTGGTGGTAAGTATAACCCTCCCTTTATAATATATTGTAGGGATATATTAGTCTTTATAATTAAAATTTTTAATCTTATAATCCCAAAATGATGCCATTTTAAATTTATTGGATATAATTTTATCTTCAGTGAGTGTAGAAATACTTTTTCCGTATTTAAAATACGGTTTAATATTTTTGTTTTTGCCGCAAACAAATATTTTTTTAACACATTCACATAAAAAGTAAGTAAATTTCATTTTTTTTATGTCAGGGACCCACTCACTTTTATGTTAATATGATAGATTTTTTTCCTGCAGTAAAAATAAAAATATTTTTTTCTTTAAAATTTATAAAATATAACCTATTACTAAATAGGAAAAAATATTTCTATTTTTGATGCAAAAAATATTTATATGCTACACTCACATAATATCTAATATTTTTTTATTTGAAAAATTTATATTACCTTAACTTTGTATATCTTCCTTAGTTACTTGTTGCTCGTGGGATAAGATGCTTATTAAGTTTTAAAGTCTTCCTATTAATATTTTAAGATTATTTTTAACAATACTAAAGTCTTCTCATTACTTTTATTAAATGTTTATAATTACTTAAGAAAATAATAACAAATGTTTTTTTCAATTTAAAATTTATTAGAATATACATTTTTTGTGTGTTTATCTTCTCATATTTCGGTTAATATTATGGAAAAAAATAGAAGAAAGTTTTTTGTTATGATTAATTTATATATTTCTCTTTTATAAAATACGAAGAAAAATTAAAAAAAGAAGACTAAATCTAAAGTTACGATTATTTATAAGCTTACGCTTATAATAACGATTTCTAATATGGTATGTGTGCCTGATAGTTTAAAAAAAAATATGAAAAGATTATGAAAGCAAAAGCTCAAGTTTGAGTGTTATATATCATATCATATCTATCCCTTTTAATTTCTAAATTATTCATTTTTTATTTTCTTTTTAATCAATCTCAAAAATAATAAACACTTTTTAATTTTTTAAACGTTTCAATTGTTATTAAATATTATATTTTTATTACAAAATCCTTATTTTTGTACTTCCAAAATAAATTTTATTGTGAAAGAGGTAGGAATAAAAAAGCAAAGTGAAAATAAACCACTAAACCAGCGAGCAAATAAAGTTATTTCATGACTTTTTTGACAATGTTCTTTTCAATACTATTTAGAATTTTAAAAGACTTTTTTGAGATAAAAAATCTTATAGATTTTAAAAGACTATTTAGAATTTGAGAAGCTTAAAGACTTTTTTTACAATCAAAATTTCATAAGATTGAATTTTAAAGGATTTTAATAGAATTTATAAGATTTGAAAGGACAATATGGATTTATAAGATTTTAAAAAATCACATGAATTTTTAACAAACATTCAAAATTACAAGAGTCAATAAAAAAATAACAAAGAAATGCAATGATATTAGTAAAAAAAAGTAAAATATAATATAATTTTCTTAATTAGTAAAACATAATATAATCTTTAACAAACATTCAAAATTATTAAGCAATAACTCCATATATCTAAAGCTATACTAATCCTCCACGCATTAGCATTTTCTCATTTCTGCTCTTGGGATTGACCAATGGGTTGAAAATTATTTTTTTCATTTGGTATCAGAGCTATGCATATATGATTATAAACACAAATTTTTTTATTTATTAAAATAAATCTAAATTTGCATATAGAACCTAAAGTTCATAATAAAATTTCGTTTGAATTTTTTTGCAATTGATCTTGGAAACTTAGGGGTTTTGTTCAACGTGATGAGAGTTTTTTAACCATATATCATATGTATGTTTTCGTTGAGTATTCTAAGAAAATTTCGAATCTTAATTTATGGGTTTTATTACATAAAAGTAGAGAAATTTTCTCAAATTATTTTCAATTGATACGTTAAAACCTTAAATTGCTTTGGAGCTCTTGAAAAATAAGTCTTTAGTTATCTCTTGACACAAAAATTGTTTGAAATTATTTTCTATAGGGAATGAAGGCCGTAGCATGTGAGAAGGGAAAAACAAAATTTTTCCGCAAGCGGAATACACATGCATATCAAGATACATACTTTAAGACGTATGTCATACCTTGTTCGTGAAAAACTCAAGACGATCAAAGGTAGGTCTGAAAGGTTCAGACCCTCTAACGTTGATCCACACCACCTGCGTCTAGATACAGGAACTTCTTCCAGTAAAGCCGCCAATTGATCACCACAAAGAGGCTTGCTATTCGCTCAATGTATGATGAGAGGAGGCTATGTAAAAGTGTTTGGAAGAGTGAAGTTTTCTGAGAGAAAACCTCACAAAAGTGGCGCAGGAAATTAGGAGAGAATGGCTTGGTTGGTTTACTAAAAACCCTAGAAGGAACATATATAAAGAGGCGCACAAGAGGAGCCTATTTGTTAAAAACAAATCAGATTTTTAATCAATAAAAATTCCTTCCAAAAGGGCGCTCCATCAAAGAGAGAGAGAATAGGATTTGTTGCAAATCAAATCTCATCAAATATTGCCAACAACATCCTATCATATCTTTATGATATATTAGGTTCCAAACCTAATCAAATATCTGATCATAAATCATCATATAATCAGTTATATGGTGCGCCCCATATAGCCTAAATAATGACCAGATACATTTGAGTCATCAAATCACTCAAATATTCTCTCAACAGATTGTATCTTCTGGAGCTGATACTGATGACTAATCATCAGCCATATTAGCGCCCCATATCTCCTTGGATTATGTCCAAGAGATTTTCTCTTGATATGTTCCAACAAGATCTAATATTGTTATGTTCCAACAAGATCTTATCTTGTCTTTTTCAAACAAGATCTTATCTTATCCTTTTTCGTAATGAAACAATTTTCATAGCCAATTCTAATTTAATTATTAAATTAAAATATTAAAATATTCAAATTTAAACTTTCAAACATTCAAATTCAAAATTCAAAATTCAAATTCAAAATTCAAAATTCAAAATTTCGAATTCAAAATTCAAATTTCAAAATTCAAATTTCAAATTCAAAATTCGAATTTCAAAATTCAAATTCAAAATTCAAATTTTAAATTCCAAAATTCAAAATTTAAATGTTTGATAATTAATTAATTTAACTAATTAAATTAATTAGTAATGACTTGGACTATCCAAGCTCATTACATTAACCATGCGCCCTCCACCCCTTTAGGTGGAGTTCCAAACTACTTCTTGGGCTAATAACTATTATAAGACCCAATACTTTTAATGCTAGAGCATCTAGACAATTAGGTGTTTATGTGTGACCCATTAGGTCCAACATAGCCACTGACATAAATGGGCTTGGGCCCAATAAGTCCACAACCCATCTAATGACAACACAG